GCGCGAGATCTTAAAGCTTGCTTCCATCGGAATGAGAAAAGAAAAGGCTGTGGAGTTTGATAATAATGCATCCGGTTTCGTATAGGCACTTAGAAGCTAACGTATTTGTGAGACAGCGAACTCTTCTATTTTAATATTTATCCTATTACGTCCTTCTGGCGTTGCGTTCGGTGAAGTGTTTTTCATATTTCGTATCTTGTTTAATGAAAACTTCTTTAAGGGTCTAATTTGAGTTACCGAAGGCTAGTTCAACTAAAGAAGCTGTATTTTCTCCCCACTGTTCCTTCAATTGGTTACACGCCGAGGTGGCGGGATAGTTAGCGAGTTCTTCTTGTAAGTGGGTTTGTAAAGAGGTCGCGGATTTTACAGCTACTGCGTCGTATCCAATTAGATGAAGTCCGAATGCGTAAACGTCGGTGAGGTAACCTTTGAGTGCACATAAAGAAACCATTCCTGGTAGAAATCCCTGAGCCTTACACTATGATGTATCCCGTTTCGTATGTGCTGATTTCAGATGCTTTATTTGTAATTTATTTTGATGTTGCAATTTGTCATTTATAATTTCCGAACCGGTTCGCGAACCGGTTCAGCGCCCCGAACCGGTTCGCGAACCGGTTCGCGGATTGAATTAATCGAAACGGAACTGAACCGGAACAAAATAAATTTACCTGAACCTGAACCGTAACCGAACCCGTATTTTTTTCGGTTCGACAGACTGATATATATATATATATATAAAGAGAGAGAGAGAGAAAGTAAAATACACATTTTTTCAAAGTTACTATGCAGTAAGTTTATTGTGTATGTTAGATAGTGCGCAGATTTTATCTCGCAAAGACTGCAAAACATTCAGTCTAGCTCTACGCAGTTCCAAGACTACTTCATAGATGGCGCCGGTGTTCTCTCCCCGTAAGCGGTTAAAGCTCTCTAAACGCTGATTCACACACTTGCGGCGGACTACGACACAACGTGTTTTTACGGTTCTTCCGTGTACTTATGACAGGCAGCGCAGCAGCAGATAGGAAATGTGTGAACAAAGCCTTACGAAATAGGATGAATCTGATGACATTTTCCTTTTCTTTTTTTGTTGTTGAAGGGTACAAACAATGTTAAACAACAAAAAACGTAAAATTTTCGCGCAGTCAGCGCATTGCAATGGCACTGCCTTACTCACAGGTTTTCAGCTACTTTCATATAACTATGCATTTGGCATAATGAGGTGACTGTTTAAGCTTGCACACGAAAAAAAGCGAAGGACTAAACAGAACCCAGTGATGAACAATATATGATTCAAGTACGTACACACCATCGATGTCGCGACTCAGAAGGGTGTATCACGCGCCTTCGGCGAAGTCGCGTACATAGAAATGCCAAAAAATATTAGCTTTAGCTAATGCCCTTTTAATGTGTTTAGCAGTCATCTCGAACTGAACGGAGACCTACCAAGAAGCGTAGAAAAAGTACATCCTGCTAGACTAGACTTCTTCCGTTGCATTTAGGGTGGATATTTATGCTTAATTCCATAAATAATTTATTAACCCTGTAAAATAATGTAGAGTAGTATTAGCGTGCAAGTATAAATATTTATTTAAAGAAACAAAAAGAGCAGTAAGCTTAAAGGTGCCTAATAATTCTTACTTGTAGTTTTGAGACCATCAGCGCGGCAATGACTTTTATGGCTTACATCTTGGCAAAACATCAAGATGTGCAAGATAAGCTAAGAACTACAATCATTAAAGCCCTCGATAAAAACGTAAGTATATTGGTATAGTTCGTGCCCATAATTGCGTGTTTTTTTTTGTTGTTTTGTTTGCTTAAACAGCCTCGAAGTTAGTCTGCCTCAATGGGAGACCTTTCTTTCGACTGTAGATGAGAAATTGAGCGAGTGCATTCCATCCAGTGGCGTAGCCAGGGGGGATGTTCGAAGGTCGAAACACGCACGGAAATTTTATCATTTTTCTCTTTTCCCGTTTTCCTTGCCTGTGTCAGTTTTTTTTTTTTTTCGTCTTTTTTCATGTGCTTCGACGTTTTGCCAAGGAATTAAAAATGCTATGTTTCTATTTCTGTTTGACAACCCATTACAATGAGGGGCGGGGTCCACAGTATTCCACAGCACAATGAAGATGACGACACTGTCCGAGGACCGCGTGAAAAACGCAAGTCCGTCTCCGGCTCAGCATCCAACGTCACAAAAGCCGCAAAGTCATGACCTCGAAGGACGTTGGTTCCACCTCGGAAAATGCAGGCGACTTGACTAAAGTCCCCCTACCCTTTGATTCTCAAGGAGTCGACTACAATTTCAGGGCAGCAAACCCTACAATCAAAACAGGACGACGAAAGGACAAACAGCGTAGTGTGCTTTTTTTTCGTGCCGTCTTTTTTTATTTTTTTAGGGTTTACTAGCCAAAAATTTTTTTAGTTTCAAATATACCCAACCAAAATGTCAAAAAAGAAAAATATATATATACATTACTAATTAAAAAAAAAGAAGCGAGAGAGAAAAGCGACAGCATATGCACCGTGAAAGCAACATTGGAATGCTCATGGTGGCTTGGTTTCAAAACGTACGTAGTTTTTTTTCTTTAATCACTACAGTGGGTATTTTTTTATAATCTTGCTTTCAGAACGTCAGTCATGAATGTTCCCTCGCTTGACGCTTTTTCAAGAATTATTATTGACCAAGAACTTCAAGTGTGTCATCAAGGTCTCCCATAGGGCCGGCACTTTCACGTCAGGCAGCATCGTCCTCTCTAGGCGACAGCGATTTTGTGGATAACGACGTCGGTCTTTACGACGCGACTTGCAAGCCTCGACTTCGAACAAATCTCTAACCTGTGCGGAGCATTCGTTTTGTTAAATAAACTGCCTAGGAAAGTTCTGGTTTGGTTACAGGTGTGGAAGGACTGCACAGCTTAGTGGTACAGACAGCTTGTCTTCGCCTGGAGACCTTGTATCCTAATGTAAACCGTCTTCTGCAAATCTCGGCCATCATGCCCGCTAGCGCCGCTGAAGCGGAACGTTCGTTCTCGACACTCCGAACACTCAGGTCATACCTGACACGTCCCAGGGGCACTTGCTTGTGGTTTCGCTTCTGAGCATTCACTGGAACATCCAAGTCAGCCCCGAAAAGGTCCTCTTGCTTTTTTCTATCGATCGACGGCGTCTTCCACTAAACGTTTAGACTCCACAAAAATGATAGAAACTGGCACTTTTCTCTGCCACTTTCTCGTAAAACGACAACGAAGAACGGAAAGAACCAAAAACATGACCATAGCACGATCATTTCTGAAAAAAATGTGATCTGCGAAGGAACAATGAGCGTAACGCTTCACTTGATGATTACTTCAGTGCTCATTGCGGTTTTTATGTTTAATCCTGTTGTAAACTTCGGTATTCTTTGGCACTGTTCTATAGTTTTTAGTCAGTGGATACCCGAGTGTTCCACAGAGAAGTTAACGCACCGAAATATTTTGTGAGCCTGTTTGGACTTTTTTGTTCAAAACCCAGTATTATATTTTATGATTGTGTGCTTTCGTTGTTCACCATTAAAGTTTCCCTCTTTAAAGATAGGTGGAACGAACTGTGTCAAAGAAGGTTGAATTTTTGTCTTCTAAAAAAAAGGAAAATGGTAACTCACATTTTGTTTGTGCAATTTCTTTTCCTCTCTCTCTGTCTTGCTTTCTCTCTTTTCTTTTTTGTTTTCGAACGGCTTGAGCGAAGAAAAGCACTGCCCATAAAAAATTTAATGGCTACGCCACTGATTCCAACCGATAGTCCGGGATCTTTAAGGGGACACTGGTATTTATGGTCGCCAAGGTTTTTATTTGTATATGATATGTGAGAGCCCAACCACCCAGAACCCAATTTGCGACTCGAAATTTATTTTCTTTCCGCCCAGAAACCGCTGATCGAGAGCTGGCTGATTTGAGTCGCGTACACACTGTTCTCTGTGCTCACGTGCCGATTTTTTTATAATCCAGACTCAACCACCCAAGGTAATCAAACTCGTGGGTCATCGAAGGCGCACACTCACTAGAAATACACAAAAAATATGATTGCCATTATTTGTGACTTCTAAAAAACTGCAACTACGTTGATTTAAAAACAGTCGTTGCACAGCTACGTGACCTCCGGCCAACGCTCTCCTCCTCTATATTTCTTCTCCCTCCCCAATTCAGTTTCGGTTTCGAGCAGTTACGTTTTTTTACTTTATTAACACTATACGTGACGCTGTGGAAAAAAATATTGATTGGGTAGACTTCTGACACCATAATAGACGGCCTGGCAAAAAATTAAAAAAAAAGTTTCTGGAGGATGTCAGTGTCCCTTTAACGTGTACCACAGAGTAGCGGTACACGACCGCACACCGGTACGATGCTTATCCAGATAAAAAAAGGGGGGGGGGGGTGTTACGACTGTCATTGAGTGGAGAAAACAAACAAACAGACAATCGTCGTGCGTTTAATATAGTTTATAATTGTCAAGGAGTCATTTTAAGCTGTATTTATTGAAAGTAGAACCACCCTCACCCATTTTTGCATCACCCATGTAACACACTCGCGCACCGATTCCCCCCCCCCCCCCCCCCCCCCCCCTTCAGTTCGTGCTGAGCAGCTGTGGTCTCTGACAGCTTAGGAAACTCACGGTGTAGGGAGTCCTGAGGCACTTATTAGGGAATTGTAGTAGACCGGTTTTCTCCTCCGCTACGGTATCCCTGAAGAAAACGCCGCAGCTGCGCCTGCGCGCCGCCAGCCTTGTCTGCATAGTTCAAGGTCTTGAGGCGGATTAGGTAGTGCTATTCGGGTGCTTAGCGGGCTGCGGAAACGGTCTACTACAATTCCCCATTATTGCTCCACAGAAATTGCAGCATTAGGCGATAAGAAGGCCGAAGAAAAAGTCACGATGCAAAAAGTGTGACTAAATTCAGCCACGCAGTGAATACGCTATGAGATATATTTAGGGAGCGGCTGTTTTGGCAGACAACACTATTACTCATTCAGATGGAGTCCTACGTGGAGACTATCCTCAGAATTGAATACTTGGACCAAGTGACGTTGGAGGCACTTCGGCTCTACCCTCCCGTGGCCGGGTAAGGCGGATCATTTGCCATCCCGTTCATTTTCATCGAAGGAATGTACACTGAAGGCAACTTGTAGGCTTACCTAGTAAAATATAGCTCGTGCCTTCACTCAGAAACACTCGCTTGTTTCGATTAGTTCCCTGGTAACCAAAAGTTTGCTTGGACGCGATTCTTTTTGGCACCCCAGAACAATTATCTTGAAGAGCTTGAAAATGCTTCCCAGAACGGGCCTCTTATAAAACAAGTTATTCGATGTAATTACGGCCTATAACTCGAACAAGTCGCTTTGTCTAATTCTTGTTATTAACATTAAACGTGCACAATAACTTGGTGCTGCTAATTTCTCCTCCTTTAAAAAGAAAAACACAAAATAATAGCAACAAAAATTAAAGTTGCTTTAAACCTTTAAGAGCTGCTTGCTTCGCTAAATAAATAAATTTGGTGTGAAACAAGGGGCATGACTAAATATTTTCGAGTCCTTGCAATTCATTTCTAGGCTCTTTTATTTATGTCGCTGAGCAATGATAAATTACTCAAGAGACACCACGCCCCTTGTTTCTTAAGTTTGCGGTGACTATATTGTGCAGTGGAGGTGGGGACTGCGATGTGAACAAGCCCACAATACCACGAAACTTTGTGAAGCTGCGCTCATGAAACAAATACAACGACGTCGGATTTTTGTCGATTCGTATCTATCGGTTATCTAGTTCTTGGGAGAATCGCCGTTTTGAGTGCCAAGCTTCCGGAGAAGTCGATATCAGGACATGACTTTAGTGACCATTTAAAACCTCTCGTCAAGCGCAAAACAACAACAACAACTCTTCGTGCACTATTTTGCGCTGATTTCTGCAATCTCATTCGGTGGATGTCTCTTCCCAAGCGAACACGGAAGGTGGCGTCACTGTTTTATAATCTTAAAAAAAAAAAAAAGCGAAAGTACAGTAGTACTTTGTCCTTAGGAGGATGAAACTCGATGTCACTAACGATGGGCTCCCAAAACGGTAAAGAGCTGCTTTTAGTTCCTTATTTGTTTTAGTCCATTTCCATTGATCGCTTTAAGGTTGAGCTTTGGATTTGCCAGAAAAACGTTTTTGTTTCCTGCCACGGAGCCTAAAGGCCCGTTCACAGACGTGCAACCGAGTACGACCGAGAAAGACACGACTGGTATTTAAGCCTCTTACGCCGGCTTAGGACTTGCTTCGTAACAGCGCATCTGGTCCTCCGCCCTCGCAAGAGGCTTAAAAACCGACCTTGTCTCTCTCGGTCTTACTCGGTTGCAAGTGTGTGAACGGCGCTTAAAGGCCCGTTCACACACTTGCAACCGACTAGGACTGAACGAGACAAGACCAGTTTTTAAGCCTCTTGCAACGACTCATGACCAGATGTGTTGCTGCGGAGCCGGTCGAAAGCCATCACAGGAGGTTTGAAGACCGGTCTTGTCTCAGTCGGTCGTAGTCAAACCCAGGTGTGTGAACGGGCCTTAAAAGGGTCCTACAATCCCATTTAAGCGCCTACCTTTTTGCGGTTTCCACATCTCTTGGGGTTCGGGGATGCCAGCGGGCACGGAGAGAGTAACTAAATATCAGTGCGTCATATTTTAATCGGACGACGCGGAAACCTCCTACGCCTACGGGGTGCGACCCGCGGTGTCGAAAGCGCGCGATATGTGAAGTTTTTGGTCCTGGGGTTACTACTGGTAAGGGCCATTAAAAGCTTATTTTTAGTAAAAAAAATAAAACAAAATATAAGTGGCGTGAACCGTGTGAATTATTAATGAAAGTAGTTTTTGTTCAGCATTATAGATCAGAAAAGAAACAGATGCAGTTTATAAAGTACGGAAACAAGAAATGACCCGTTGAAATACCCGCCACCAAGCGGTGGAAAAGGCGGCGCATACTAGAAAGGGGTAGTGGGATCGGGCACCGACGATCGACGGGCGTGGAAGGGTCCCGGATGTACGCGGCGGCGCTGCGGTCGTATACGGGCTTAAGGATCCGACCGGTTCTGAGCGTTCCGAAAGCCTTGATTATAATGCGATTAAATGCAAAGGTACAAGTGAGCAGCTTTGGCTTGCGGTTTGGCCGTTTGGCGATATGGCAGCGCGAAGTGGCTCCCGTTCTGAACTGATCTTTACCGCATGTTTGCTGTCGTTTGTGGCCAATGAAGTGTCATGCCGAATTAGTGTTTAATTGCGAAGCAAATGCAATGCGAGCCGCCCTAGCTGCCCGCTTCATACAGCCTAGCCACAACATGCTTTAGTGACGCCCTCTCGAGCCGTCGACACGGAGTGCGGCAGCCGTGAGCGCTCGCTGAGCTCACTACCCCTCCTAAGGTTTACAGCAACTCAAGCGACCAAGGACGTCATGAAGGAGGTTATTTTTCTGCTTGTTTTTGTAATTTTAATTTGCCTATAACTTTTAAAATAAAGTGAAATCTGAGAAAAAAAATTTCACTAAGTTACTACGTTTAGTGCGTTCAAGTTCGGTTAAATTAAAAACCCGTAAAAACGTTCTTGCAGGGCCCCTTTGAAAGGGACACAGTTTACCTCTTTGGGGGCTCAATTGCGTTCTCTTCAGCGCCGTAGTTATAGTAATGGGGACTAGCTTTCTCCCTATAGGTATCAATGACACTATTATTGGTAGGTAACTTTTAAAACTAAGTACGAACTTTCGTCCCTTTGTGGACCAATGTTGACAGTTTCAAGGATGAAGTTAAAACTTAAAAGGGAAAAACTTTCGTCCTTTTAGGAACCAATTTTTTCCACCTTGAAGAATAAAGTAAAACATAAAAGAAAATTACCTTCTTTTACGTTGGGGACCAATTTTGATATTTTAAAGGATGAATTAAAAAAAGTAAAATTTGACTAACTTTCGTTCTTTTCGGTTTCAATTTAGTGTTCTTTCGATGTGCCTTATGTTTCTTGCGCTTTTTGGCAGAAAAAGTAAAAGGTCACGCGTGCATGCCTGCCTACCCCAGACACCTGGTGCAATTTTCGGAAAAGTGGCCTCTGCCAAAAAAGTCGCACTGTGTCTTTCTGGAGGCAGGCCAACTCCAAACGTCGGTGCTGCACAAATACCTGCAAGAAAGAGGAATGAGCACCATTAGAACCTTTAAGAGAAAAAATTCCTTGTTTTGGTTTACAAGAAAATTGCAACAGCAATTTGTAAACAAAATAAAAAAAAAATATTCTGAAATTTTGAATTACATGACGGTGCTAAAAAAAAGAGATATATAAACAGTGTCACCAATATCCAAAGATGTGTGCACCAACTTGACTGTGTTACGTCACGCCGCGGTGGGGGCGCTTCGGGCGTACTTCCGGTCAGGCGCATGGGAGGAAGTCGCCGCACTGGCCGAGCATCGCTGTGTTGTTTAGGAAGAAACCAGTCTAAAATCTGCCCTATCGTCAAAACGCCGCGACTAGGATTGCAACAAAATAGCCGGGAAAGGTCTCAAGATCACTGTTCACGTGTTTCCTGCCTGTGCGGTTCGTCCGAGAACGTAAATAGGATCTGTGAAAAGGGAAAACCAGACGGCGTCGGACATGTGGGAAGTACTTTGGGTTGTATTCGCGGATACTTGTAGTCGTCCGATTTAGTTTTGTTACAAAACGAACGCGGAAAATCCGTTAAGCTGTCCGAACCACTCGCGTACCACGTTCAGGGCGTCTTAACGTTCGAACGGCTGTGTGATCGTTCAAACTGCCGTCTGCTTTTTCAAAGTCGTTTGCTTTTTTCAAACTGGAATCTGCACGTTCAAACGATAACTTTTCTCCGTATAGGGATCAATGAAACTAATATTTGGTAGGTAACTTTCTAAATTGGGAATAAACTCTCGTCCCTTGTGGGACCAATTTTGACACTTTGAAGGATGAAGTAAAAAATTAAACGAAAGATACTTTCGTCTCTTTTGGGGATCAATTTTGACACCTTAAAGAATGAATTAAAGAAATAAAACGTGGCCAATTTTTGTACCTTTGGTATAAATGTTTCGTCTTTTCGGTGTGTAATTGTTTTACGTTTCACAGCTGAAAAAGTAATGTCTCTCACGTATGCCTTCCTTCTCCGGGAACCTGGTGCAACTTTTCGGAAGAATGACCCATGCCGGAAAGTCGCACTGTGTCTTTTTGGAAGCAGGCCTCCTCCAAATGTCTGAGGGGTATAGAAACCTGAAAACAAAAATAAATTCCCATTATAAATTTTAGGAGAAACGATTGCTTGTTTTCGTTTACAAAGTAATTCCAACAGCAATCTATGGACGTAATACCAGAACTTACACTGTGCAAATAAATTCCATTTTGAAATTCCGAGCCACATGACTGTGCTAATAGACAAATATATGAATGATGTTGCCAATATCCAGAGAATGTATACACCACCTAAACTCTGCTGTGTCACGGCGTTGGTGCACTTGTTCGTGGCACGTGTCCCAGGTGCTCACATGACGATGGTTGTAGGTACTTCTGAGAAACGTTGGGAGTATGAATCTTAACAAGGAGCTGTAGGCTAGACTGGTGGAAGGGAAAAGTCGAGGATAATTAGTAGGAGCCGATGGGATGCTCGTATGGATATAAACCATTTTTTTTAAATTATAGACTATATCAATAGCGTACAATACAACTAGTAACCAATCAAAACTGCAGGCTAATGGCTTGTTCTGACCATGACTAAGCACGCGGACCGGACCTGTAGAACAGTTAGCTGGACGCAGAAAACACAATCATAAATTTGTTTGTCTCGCCTGGCAGCAGCACTCTTAACCGTTAGTGACGAACAGAAGAATGCGAAACCCTATCTACACTCATCCTCAAATTTAGTCCGACCGCAATCGCTGAAAAAAATTTACCGACGCAAATCAGCTAAAGGCAAAGGAGAACCTTAGCTTTTTTATTGCCGATTCCTGATGCCGTTCTGGCGTCGATGGCTTGGGGGAATGGCACGACGCAGCAGACAAGCAATTTCGCATGGAAAGAAGCCAGGCCATATGAAAATCGGGCAGCTGACAATCAGCAAGGGAGCTCAGGTCTCGGAAAGAGTAGGTACGCCACGAGCGGCGTTCCGGTCAGCTCCATGCGGGAAAGTTGACCGCTTTCCTCGCTACAACGGCTGCGAAACCGGAAGATTCGCACGTTTCACGAGGAATCTTAGCCCAAAGCTCCAACGACTTACAAAAAGCGATGCGTCAGTGTCTTAAAAACAAAATGAAAGGCGGCGAAGTTGAAAAGAACATTTCGTTACGTCACACACAGTCGCAAAAATAAGAAATGCGACAAAAACAAAAAAAAAAAGAGACCTCAATCTTTTTGTTCTATTTTGTTTTGGGGTCTTTTCGCAGATTATCCCTGGGGCCGATCATCAATTTACTTCAACACGACGACTTTGTTGCGTCGCCGTGACTTTCTAGCCAACTAAAATTAGAATACCAAGCTGGTCAAATAAACAAAACTAAAAACAAAGGCAAGATGACTAAAAGCGGGTAGCGCACTGAAGGACTCGCCTTCTGAACTGATCTCTCGCTGTGTGTGTGTCTCTCCTACTCGTCCGTCGTTTTTAGCGCTTTTAACCCCTGAACTTCACTCGTTAGCCATTTACACCCCTGCCAGACGGGCACCTAAAAGGACGTTTACGCCACTGGACCTTTAGTGTAAACGTCATTTAAGCAGTGCCAGACGGCAACTCACGTGGAATTTAGCGTAAAACTCATTTACGGCTGCTAAAGGCGCGCACTCTCGTCAGCAGCGGTCTACACTAGAGACACCAACCGATATAAAAGATCGTACTGATACCTATAATTAATGATTTTGTTTTATTTTTTATTATTAGAAAAGTGCGTGTTTCACGTATATTTTGTACAGACCTCGCTCTACTAATAGTTTTCTGTATTCTCGGCCCGAGCTACCTAGTAGGCCTCGTTGTCCCGCTGCTCGTATCGTCCGCTTCGTCACTTCGGTTTTCCTCCTCTCGATTTTCCTTATAACCATAGTTGTCTAGCTTTTATTCCTCTACTTCATATCTTATCTTACATATAATACTGAATTGCTAACTATACTGTATATATTTAATATACTTTTGTAGATATATACATATTTATATCGCCCTCACGTCGTGCGATACGTCGAACAACGGAGGAGCGTCCGCGAGTAAGAAGGAGTCGCCGCGCTTCCATTGGAGCGTTGAAGCGACCTGGGCGCTAATACGACTTCTCGAAGAGCCTTTCTTCGAGGCAGTCAGTCTCTCGTTGGGCAGATTGAACGTCGGAACTGATAGTCGTCAAAGCATCCGTGATCGACAGCAAGGAACCATTCATCGATGTCAAAGCACCTTCATGGTAGGGCTCGCAGGGACATCAGGAACGCGATGCGAGACGCGGGGTCTATCGTAGTCGGATCAATATTGGGAGGAAGATCCATCGAGGGAACAAACGTGGACGCGTGCGATGAAACTCAAGCGTGAGCACGACGCAGAATTGAGCAGGGAAAAGGCGTAGATGCGTAGCAGAAGCACAGAAAAGAAGCTGGAGCGGGAAACGATCAGGGTGGCCGCAAATTGCAAAAAAAAAAACAGGAAAAAAACATTACGTTTGCGTTTAAAGTGGATTTTGTTGTAATAACTCGACTGACCTCGTCACGGGTTTTAGTTGAGCTGGTCACATACTGTTGGAAATCGGGTCAACTGAACACGGAAAAACGAGGACACGAAGGAAAGGACTGGACAAACACACTGCTGTGTTTGTTCAGTCCTTTCCTTCGTGGCCTCGTGTTTTCCAGTTCAGCTGACTCGATTACCCACTGAAATCGTCCTTTTGTCTTTTTTAATATTTCGTTTACTTAAGAAAAACTTCAAAAATTATTTATATCGCGAAAATATTATTTTTTTAGCGTGGACGTGCTTTAACGTTTACTTGCGCTGTCTGGCACGGCAGAACTTAAAGGTCATTTGAAGATCCTAAAGGCCTTAGGCGTAAAGGTCATTTCAGGTGCCTGTCTGACAGAGGTATCAGAAATATAACAAGTACGTTAGTCCGTTACTGAAATTTCTAACGCTTACCAATAACGTCGTTACTTGTAACGCGTTACTTCCAACAATGATGGCTGCATCCAGCTCTCCTAATTCAAAGGGGAAAACCCCGAAGTTGTGCGCGTCCAGCCGTTCCAACCACGCAAAAGCTGTCGGCGCCAAGGCCATTTGCTTTGATTTTTTGCGGAGTAAGACATATTCCCTGGTATAGTATTGGATGCAGAGCAATGCAGGGAAGATTGCAGACAATCGACGCTTTTGCCTCCTCCACGCAGCTTGTATCGGAAACGCAGCCCATAAACCACGTGACCTCGATCAAGCAGTCGGAGACACTCTCACAGATAGGCACACTGGGTACGCTGCAATTCCACACCAAGCGTCTCAGCGAACTGTCTGTGTTAGTAGCGCTTGTCATATGTTAGTATGAGCTCCACTGTGACGTAACAATCGCTAGCACGAATCTTTCATCCTGCTGCTGCTCCAGATGTGACTGCAGTCATCGGACATTGTTGGCAAATTCTTTGCATAAAACAGAAAATTGGACTGGCAGTTGGTTGGGTATTTATATTGCTTAAAATGTGAGCAATCTTATTTTTTGTATGTTACGTGACAGATTTATCACGAGAACCTGCGAAAAAGACTATCACTATAAGAGTCTGAAGATTCCTAGTGGGATGACTATTTTGATTCCGGTGCACCAACTACACCGCGACCTCAATCTCTGGAACCAACCTGAAGCCTTTGACCCGGACAGGTAAGAAGCTGACCAAGTATCTTAAAAGCAGCCAGAACACACACACACACGAACAAAAGATCCAATGGTTTAGAGGCTTTTTTACGCGTCAGTCACGATCGGAGATTCTATTTTTAACAGAGCTTGGAACGTTTGCGTAGCATACTGGAGAGCTTTGTGTGTTTGCTTGTTTATTTACCAATGATGCCCACCAACTACAAAGTGTCCTACCTGTGGTGCATTGCAGCACCGACAACAAAAGGCGCATGAAAATTTCTAATGTATAAAAAAATACTGAACAATGTAAAGCATGCCCTATGATTGTTCCGGCATCATTAAGCTCTCAAAATTAAGAGGCATTAACATGCCAATTGCAAATGACGGAGAGCTATTAAATAAGTCTTCGATTCGCTTGCGAGGCAGAGGTTGGTACGTTTATTAAGATAGAACAGTCCCATAAACGCATGCCCACAAAAGCCGTTTAAATGTTTGCTCGAAAACAAGAAAAAATTATGTTGTGAAAAGACGGTGAGAGTGCAGGCGAGCTGGTGGTAGCTAATCATGTCGTATTACGCCTGAGACTGCGGTGAAAGAAATCGGAAGAACTTTCAGTAGAAGGAACAGACACAGAGAACGTCTCAAGAGACGTTCTCTGTGTCTGTTTTTTCTACTGAAAGTTCTTCCGATTTCTTCCACCGCAGTCTTAGGTGTAATACGACATGAAAAAATTATATTGTTTTTTTTGTTTTTTTGGAAAGTTGGCCTATAGAATCCTTAATTAGGTTTCGGTCAATGGCCGCTAAGTTGCTACGTTTGCGATGCTTGGCTTAGACACGCTTTCTTGTTGAAATCTTGAGGCAAAGTTGCTTTCAGGACTGTACGTATGTGTCCTCTCCAAGTTCAAAGTAGAGCTCAAAGCTTTATAAGTTTGTGACCTTGCGTGGAATGTTGCATTAGTATGGTATACAAGTGCGTTATTGCATGATGGCTCCCTCAACCCTTTATTGACGAGATATACAAAAATTACTTGACACATTTATTTTTAAGACATTCATATTTAACCAAATCAAGTAAACAAAACAGCGATAAAGTTTAAAAAATATATCATGAGGTAAACTTGCAAATCGTGGCTTTGTTGCCTGTTGGCAACACGAGGCAAAAGTCCTTGCTGAACCTCTATGGATCACTGTAAAGTGTCAATAATATCTGCGCATACGATAGCCTTAAGTAAAACGGTCATCTATCGTTGAATATCAAGTGCAAGAGAGAAACAGATCCATATTTTTCGCCGTTCCGCCATTCTCAGTATTCACGTATTTGCGCACCAAACTTATTTTTTCTCGTCAACTATTCACGTACCTTTTCACTAGATGCGCTGTATAGTTTCGATCTTCAAGACTGTTGCCACACTCCTATATTAAAAAAGTGATAAAACCGAAACTGTTCAAGAAACACAATTATTAATTGGTTTGTTGCCTGTAGGCAACATTCGTCAACAAAGGGTATTATTTTCATTTTACACGGGACGTATAGCTTCGTTTTGTCGCAGTTTGGTAAGGTATACGAAATTGAGAAACGTTAAAACGATTTTTTTTTCGCCTCCTTGTTCTTAAAATAGCTTTCCCCGTTCATTCACCGCGCGACATTCTGGAAGGGTTACCTTGCTGCATGCCCATCTTGAAGAAACTAAATGAAACCGGGGGTTTCCAACCAAAACAAGAAACAACATTTATTAGTATAACAGGAATGGTTCGTTAGTATTAATTTACAACGATGCCATGGCGTTTACCTCTACGTCTCCGTACTCCCGGTCCATCTCCCTATCGTTCTGTGGGCGTGCCCCCCTTTTATAATCCTCTTGCACCTATTCTTCATGCGCTGTTGCGCGCTTGGGACTTTGTGTCGACTTTGGGCGGTCTGTAGCGGCGCCTGGGCGCTGTGGTGGACCTTTGTCCCACCCAACATGCACGTGCACGTAGACGTGCACGTACACGAGATGGTTTTTGCAAGAAAATAAATATACCTAGACAGTGCAGTCCTTCTGGGCGAAATCTGGTTCTTGTCTGGGAATTGAGGACCTAAGAAAGCCCGAAGACTCTCAGGTAAAGCCGAAGTAGGCAAGAGTCTAAGTATCTTGGCCCTAATTTGTCAAACAAATGCCAAGGTTAGGCTTCACTGCTATGGTAGTTTGGCTGCTTTCTGGCATCTTTGGGCCGAAATCCATAAACAAGTGCCAAAGTTGGGCTTCACTTGTGACTGTTCGGATTTCATGTAGCAACTTGGGACTTAAAGTTCCAAACAAGTGCCAGCTTCAGTCATCACTGACGGTTTTTCGGTTTATACGTGGCAATTTTGGCTCAAGTCTGGCGATTGGACAATTCTATGATTGCGCCAGAAAAAAGCCACAAAAACGCCGAAAAGAAGGACTCTGGCACTTAACTAGCGCCATGGAGCAAAACCGTATTGGGCCCAAGCTATAGGCCCCAAGGATTTCCAAGCTTGTGCCAAGCAGGAGTTTCTTCGGCGTGCTACTTGTGTAGGATGGTCACTTTTATTTAAAGGGCAACTCCGGTCTATACTTCGAATTTTGGGATTATGACTGTTTTTAGCGCAGTATAGCGTCCCTGAATTTCAAGGTGTAATTTATTTTCTCGTTATCGTGCGTAATTTTAAAGATATCGACGTCTCAAAGTTTTGTTTGGGGCGTGGCCAACAAAACCGAAACTAGCCGGTCCGTTGGAAACTTGTGAAAAAGCATCCCCGGGTTGCGCAGCAGGTTGTTTCAGCAGCCCACAGCGCTACAAGTTGTACTGGGCATCTTTCCTGGAACAGCTGGGCAGTCTTGGGCGCGCTGAGTTGTTCGCTAAAACGAGTCTTGGAGTCCTCACAAGACAAATAAACAAAAGGCTATACCGAAGCTACATGGGCTACAGATAAAAGCAACAGCTAAACACGCCAATCACAAGCCGAAGTAGCGGTGGTAGCGGCTCAAAGAAGCGCACTCCGCGCAACGCCCGGACCGGAAGAAAAAAAGAGAACGATACTGACGTCACGGCTCAATGTTGCTTTAGCGACCGGCAACCGCCGCCCGCTAAGGAGCAGTGGTTCGCGGCGGGTCGCATTTTTATTATCGGCATTAGTTGAGAATGCGGCGTCCCCCGGATGTAATATTCTGGCTGGGGTCGTATTTTGTGTCACTACAGCGATACCAGTAATTTATTTCATTTTGAGTTTTGAGCGGAGTTGCCTTTTAATCTCGTGTAGTGTGTGCCAAATTCATTGTGAGAACCCCTTTTCCGAAATTATCAAAAGCTACCTGTTCACGATGCAGATTCTACTTAGAATCGGCATCGCCACAGATGATGAAACAGACAATGTGCTAAAACGTAGTATTAAGCTTCAAAACTACCCCCCCCCCCCCGGCCCCTCTATAATCTAATCAGTGAGACACGTAGAAATAAAGCACCGGACAAGCCAACTCCTCCCCCCGGCTTAACCAGCTCGCCTGCATTCTTTCGCTTTTTGAAAACACCCCTCCCCCGTAATCCTCATCAACAATAACTTTCGGCTATAGGGTGGATTAGCATAGTAGTTAAATGAATAGAAAACATGTCCCGGCCCAACGCCAAGTTCTATTTCGTGGTAACTCTAAGCTTAACCTTAAAGGCGTTAGCGTCTTCCATAATTTCTCAACAGATGTAAACGAACTAACACAATAGCGAAGATCAACACCGACCGTGGAAAATTACTTTTCTGACTTTGGTGATCCAGTACACTGGATACTTCAAAACCTAGAAATATATTGATAGAAGAATAATAAACGAACAGGCTGAAAAGAGTGTTTCTTGTAACAGTATAAAAACTAAAAAATAGCGATTTCAATTATTATATTTTGTATTGTTATCTTCTTTCAGTTGCTTCCTTCTTACTTCAACAGAAGTAGTCAAAGCAAATTGCCTTACGGTGTGGTGTTTAGATAACTGGTATACGGTAAACTTCCGGCCTGTGAAGCTGCACATGGTTTCGTCGCTGTCACCGTAAAATCCCTGTTACCTCGGTTGAAATTTCGCAGATTCAGCGCTTGTAACAAGAGCATCTTGAACTCCGTGCAGTATCAAGCATTCGGAAATGGACCACGGCGCTGCATGGGCATGCGTTTTGCTCAGCTGGAATTGAAGATCGCATTTGCCAAGATCTTGGCAAACTACAGCTTGTTTCTCGACGAGAGGCACTTTGGGGCAAGTGGAATACTGGTTTATTTCGTGATAGGATCTGCTGTACAGACCAATGAGTTTGTTAAACCTTGTGTTTCTGTCTAAATAAACGCCTCACAAATTCAAAATGCTACTCATATTTTCTTTTTCCTAATTCAGCGAGAAATAGCAAGCTCCTCGGTCATACAAAAGTATATTTCTTTCTTTTTTATTCTTAAATTATGAAATTAAAAAAAAAAAAAAAAGAAAACGGAAGCTGGGGGATACGCATAAAGCTACAATTCACGATTTGAGAAACCGACTAGTGCGATACACTTTATAATAATTCGTAGAAGTCCTAGTTGAATATTCCCGAGGTAAGAAGGAGCTTGGTAAAATCTATTCTCAAGCGATCTCAAACTTCACCTTATTAATTTTGTCTGTGTGTGCGATTTACAGGAAGATCAACTTAAACTGAAGACTTCGTTCATCTTCGCCAATCCTCGCGATGGTGTTTGGATCAAGCTCAAGAAGGTTTCCCGTCAGTCTTGCGACAACAAAGCATCGTGACGTCGCCGTGCAGGAATCTCTCGAATAAACGCAAAAATCATTTGGCTGTGTCGTCGACGCATTGGATGTAAATTAACTTCCGATAGCAAATATAATTTTGGTCTGAAATTTCGCCGTCCCTCACGTTTCTGGAGCGATAAGAATTACGTTGGTACAAAGTGCAAATCGGAACCATTTCTCACTACATTTACGGACGCCACCTCCTCAGCTTTGAACAGGGGATCGCCAATATTTTGTTTTATTTTTTCTAGGAGTGGGAAGATTATAATCAAAATTACGTGTTCGTGGGGAAAAGTGTTTTTTAGGACCTCCAGCTTAAGCGATTATGTTTGACGCTCGTCAATACCCTGCATCGGTAAGATGAAAAAAAAAGAAAGAAGCTACAGTGTCATGTTTGTGCTGAATTGCATGCACCCTATACTGCGCGATGCAGTGAATGCGAACGCAAGATCAGCGAAGTTTTGTATTTCGCTCAGGCAATGTTACGACGAATTAAAAATTTCTTACACGAATTGAATCGAGGACCACATTTTACCGATATAGTAGTTCAGCAGTATCTCAGTTTTGTCTTAACAAAAAATTGAAATTAATTGTTGTCGTCCACTGTGCTGCACCCTGTACCAGCCCAATGATCGACAACTCTACAACCTTATCGAAAATCCGAAATAGTCGAATCGTAATAAGTATAAATTCGAGTTTATGATAAAACTGGTGTATCTTGCTTGATATCATGTTTTGTAGATGATAACTGCGCGTCAATTTGTCATCTAATAAATAAATGAACAGGATGTGCATAAAGTCATCCTCTGATTAAAAAGCGATCTATCTAGAAATAATGGGAGATAAAAACACGGGCGTTATGGAGTTACTTAGGCCGACTCATCGAGTTTTTGGCTTATTTGAGATGGCACTGCAATCACCCATGCCAACAAGACATCAATAAGGAAGAAAGAACGGAGTATTTTTGATATCGTGGATGTAAATGGCTGGTTACTGGTCAACGACGGTTCAGCGGTGAGTGTGGGCAAGATACTCGTTTCATACGTCACGTAGCGAGTGGACTTTCAGGACTACGTTGAAAAGTGGTTAGCGCACCGCCAACAGCCCCTTCACTCACACTAGACCTATCAGTTCTGGGCATGTCATCGATACTGTCAGTCTCTTCATTCTTTGCGTACCGCGTTTTGATACTTTGAACATCTGGCGGACTTTGACACAGAGAAGTCACATTATTTATCTTCTAAAGAAATTGCGATGGCAGATACGAATGGTCTCCAGTAGCTTAGAAAGTGTTTGGGAAATGTGAAAGAGAAGAGTCTCTCCTCTCCCCCTAACTGTTTACTAGAAACAGGTACTTTACTAAAGACCAATGCATTCTACTCCCCTAGTTTTCATTAGACAACACACCTACAGCGCCTAATCCTTCCCTAGCTGTGGGGACGCCCCGCGTCCGAGAACGCATGCGCATTGAGCGGTCCAGGCTGTCGCTCAGTCTCGCGACGTCGAAGGGGATGGTTACCAAAGCTTTACCGAGACACGGAGACACTCGTGACTAGAGATGCCGCGAACGTTTTGCGAACTTCCCATACAAAAAATGGTCTATGGTCGTCTATGGTAAATTATATGGCAGGCTATCACTCCCCATGGCCCTCCATGGTCGGCCATAGAAATCCATAAATACGGCTACAGTCAGTTGTAGAAAAATGTATGGCCTTTTATCTAAAGACTGGGAACCAATACGTTTTCCTTACCTGCCTATAGAAAATTATATGGCCGCAAGTCTAAAGACTGGGAACCAATAAAATTTTTTACCCGTCTATTGGAAAATTTATAGACCCGAGTCTAAAGACTAAGAACCAATACATTTTCTTTCCACGCCTATCGACCAACACACTGTTTACAAACAAACCCGTGTTTGCCCACCGGGTGAGGGCACTGCGCGCGCGCAGAAACCAGATTCGACCGAGGCGAAGCATCTGCGCATGCGCAGTGCCGACAGCAGCACCACCGCATCGACGTGACGTCGGAGAGTTGAGTTGGTCTATAGAAAATCACTACCGGCGCTTACTTTTTTTAGTAAAAACACTCCACGTTAGAAAATTAGATCAATACTAAATTTCTGTAATGCCGGTGACAAATCATGACCCAAGATATGTTCTCTGCTGTTGCAACGAGTCGTGAAAACCAGTAATACTGTTTGTTCGAAAAGTTCATTAAAATACTTGTGCAGCAATTAAAATTAATTATTACCCCCAAAAGTGAAAATAAATTACACTGGCGCCGAACACTGCAATCAAGCAATAGCTTGATTGCAATCTTCAGCACCAGTGTACTGTATGTCATCACTGCATTGTCAACGTGATTCATCAAACTTATTAAAAAGATAATTAATTAATTTTAGTAAATTAGCCTAATGATATAGACTTCCTTTTTCCAGGGCGTTGAATTAAGAGATGGGGGCTATTCCAAGAGACAATTCAAATAATGTATTAAGCACGAGTAATATTTGCTAAGCTTCTCCGCGTTTTTGCGACAAATGATGGATCACCGGCAAAGTCGGATTCAAAAATTAGACTGCCATATATACAGCTGGTGCGAACATGGCACATGTAGAGAGGTGGCCGCTGTCGCTGCGTTGTGTATGTATATCTATCATGAAGCGTTCACAAGTCGGGGGAACATGAAGTAAACATTTTTTTTAGAGTTTGCTCTATGGCTCTCTGTAGCAGAGAGCCATAGGGTAAGCCATAGAGATGTCTTTAGCCAACCATTAAACAAGCTAAGAGCGCTATGGCAGGACAGCGATGGGTCATAGACAAAGCTAAAGAGGCCCATAAAGGCGACCATAAAAATGCTAAAGCCAGCCATAGAAAATTCTTTAGCTAGTTGGGCCAAATAGCTGAAGCCGACTATACAAAGAATTTTCTATAGCCGACCATAGGGCATTTTTGTATGGGTTGAGGCTCAAAACCAAGGAGTTCGAAAGGTTCGCCACGTTTCGAAACGTCGAACTTATTACACAAAATATTGAAGATTTTCGCAATTTCGATTTTTTTTGGCGCTGAGAAATTTGATTGTTTTCGAACTTCCGATTTTTGCGCTAAAAAAATTCACGATTTTAAAACTTTCGAATCCGCTAAGTCTAAAAGTTCTAGAAACTTGGAACTTCTGAAAAAAAAAGTTTGACAAAGTTTGAATCAAGTTCACCCCCATAGGTTTGCGGCAACAAATATAAATAACACAATATGTCAATGTGTGAAGTGGCTTTGATGTTGCACTTAGCTGATTGCGCCACAAACGACTCGCTTGTAAAGCGCTGAATGACCACTTTGGGGAGCCCTCGGCCCCCAAAGTGGTCTTTACCTCACATCTTTTTCTACCGACTTCCCCACATAGCCTCTCCCGCGCACAACCCCGCAGGTTGCCCCGGGGTAACCTGTGGGCCCACAGATCCATGATTTGCAAGATTGAAATTCAACCAATTCGCTTCGCTGGAAGCGTCCTTCATAGTTCACTTAAGGCCAGCTGAACTAGAAAAAGCATACACATAAAGAAAAGACCATCCACACCGCTGGTGTGAATGGTCTTTTCTTTATGTGTATGTTTTTTGTGTGTGATGTCAATCAAGGAAAGGCACGCGCGATGAGCGACGCCGATGCGCTAAAGCGAACGCTGAATCGGTGCTTACTTCATTATCATTAGCAACCCGCTGCACCTTAGAGCGTCCATTATCTCCATTCGTCAAAGAAGTAAAGTTCCAGGCAGCGCCAGTATGGTTAGCCCGATATCAACCGGTCGTGACCTGATCAGCTGTATTTCAGAGCGCCGGGTGGTCCCCTAACTTAGTCTGGTTGCATTCTCGTCAAGCTTGACTTGGGCCGGGTGCAGTAGCTGTGTTTTCTCCATCCCACGGATTCTCCCGCCGAAACTAAACGCCCAGAGCAACTAAATATTTTCGGGAAGCCTGGATGCCTTTATGTGCATGTGTTGTCTTGTAAATTTAGTTGTCCTACGCCAGCATTGAATTTAGGCAACTTTTGATGGGATTGCTACTAGTCTGCAAATACGTAGGAGGTACGTTCACTTGACCGCCTCAGGACTTGTCGATCAACCGTTCAACCAGTCAACGCTTGTTTCATAGGTTATGACAAATAACGAGAAATACGGGTTCTACCTGAGATGGAAGGAGTATATTCACGGCATAAGAGAAATGGGCAACGTTTTCAGTAAAATTTGCAGCACATTTCGGGATTTTTTTAGATGAATTCATGAGGACTTAGTTTGAAACTGCAGAATTTGATCTTGGTCCATGAAATTCAAACTTCGAACTTATAATCGAAACTTTCAAACTTTCCAAACTTCAACCTCAAAAAACTTCACAATATACAAATGTTTCTACCTTGAATCTTAATTAAATTCAAAATTATCGTATTTTTTGCACGATCTGTCAAAAAAGTCGAAATCTTTGAACTCGAGCTTTCAGAAACCTTGACCTTATCAAATTATTTACATTCTAAACACAGCGGGGTTCTAAAGTTGCGAACTTTTGAAATTCGGAATTTACCAAGTTTAAAATTTTTCGAAACCTTTCGAACTCGAACATCGGGAGGTTCGCGGCATCCCTAGTCGAGACATCTGTTTGAGCTGGCACTCGGGGAATTTCCCGTCGATAGATGGCGCCAGCCACACATCCCAATTCAAAGGGCAAAACTCAGAGGCCGCGGCGCATTCAGCTTTTCCAACAACGCAAAACCTGTCCACGTCGAGGCGTCATTTTAGCGGTGTGAGATGTATACGCATTCCCTTCTAAGTGCCTTTCCGAAATGTCTTTGGGGGGTCGATTCCCGCCCTCCTCCCCACCGCTTATTCCAACGCTCCTGGTGGTCTCCGTCTACAATGCAGTAACTAAGAACGTGTCGATGGTACGCAAGAAAACAACAATGAGAAATAAACGACGAGTGAACGACGTACGGTAGAACGTTGCAAAATATCCGCCCGAA